GTTTCATCGTACGATGTCATTTATGTCGTTGTCAATGAGAGATGAAATAGATCATCCCATCGCATGGATAACGCACATACAAGATCTTACATGGGCCACAACAGTTATGTTTGCTAGGTGACCCACTCTCACAAACACATATCTACGTCTGTACTAGATTTCAAACTCTATCTATGTGCAGATCTACTATACCCGCTGAACTTCAGACACATACACACACTCCCTTACTCGATTCAGACTAAACGAGAAAACATCCAGGGTCTATATACTATTCACTCTCAACATCTCCTTTCCCAATTTCTTATTTACTTCCCTTTTATTCTATTTTTCTTTTTAAATATTATTTAAGTTAATTTATTTTATAATTAATTCATTTATACTTTTATTAGGTTTCTTACGTTATTTCTTTTTTCTCAATCTTTCATTTTATTAGGGGTTTCTTTTCACTTATAATTTTGTTATCAAAATTTCAAATATTATTAGTCCTTAATTTTTCAGTTTCCATCTCATGATTTCCAAATAAGTTAGGGTCACTTGTCATAGGTCCATGTTCTGTTCTTCATCAAGCAATCAGGTCAATATCTGTTTACAAAATAAATTCAAAAATACACATGTATAGGTTTTCAAAATCCAAATTCAAGTTGGAATAAAGAAATACTTACCAAAGTCCCTCAACAAATTGTACTCCATTTGATCAATAGCCTAGAATCACCATACATAATTTAATTAACGAAAATGAATTAAACCTAAAAGAAACTACTAACAATGGTTGTTTTGGGTAATTACCACAACAATCTCATTCTTCAGTATTCAACGAACCACCACTTTAGCTCTTTGCTTAGGGTTGGATGATTTTGTTCCTAAAATCTACACGTATACATATACATATGTATTAGCACCCGTATTCACCAAACTCAACAACAAGGAAAAGGAATGTTACCCGATTCGGTTTGCTGCGGTGAAGGCCAAACAACTTCATTTTTTCGATTTTTACTACTAGAGACGATTTTTGATTTTTTCCGAGAAGACTTCACTCATCGTGGCAAAGTGAGCGCTCTAGCTCCCGAAACCTGCACACACACACACACACATGAATACCTATTTTGTCAAGAACACACACCAAAAGAGGAAAAGGAACGCACTTGGTTCGGGTGCGGTGCACTGAAAACCCGAACAGCCTCGGGTTTGACTCTTAGCTTCTGGAGGATGGTCTCCCTGGGTTCCCCGAGAGTACTCCTCGCTTGCTTCGAAGATTGGGTGATTGGTTTCACACCTACACGCCAATTAGTGTTAAATAGAAAAAGAGAATCTCGAAAAAAAAAATGGAAAGCACGAAACTTACCGAATTTCGGACACTAACATCGTATGCAACACGGTGTTTCTCGATCGCGATTCCCTTTTCTTCCTTTCCCTTCGGCTTTTTGCCTCCGTGACACCTCCTCATTTCCCTTTTCGACAGCATTTCCGTCTCCCCTTCTAGTTTCTTTGCTTGTCTCTCCTTCACACGATGTTCCCTTCTCCTTATCGGCTCGACTCCTCCTCAATCTCGGTCTACTCTCTCACCCGGTCGGCTCCTCTCCTCCTTTCTCATTTCAGTTCTCATTTGCTGAATGAAGGAGAAAACTCTAATTGTTTCTTTAAATACCCATCTCCTTAGTCGTATGATCTTGTAAGATTCAATATGGGCTGTTTAATATGATGAAATTCTAATCCGTTGGATCATCAGACGGTTTGATCAAGACCGTCCATTTTCTGATTTCTTTTTTTCCCCTTCCATTTTTATTTAATTATGCTTTTGCCCCTCTTTTTCCTACATGTTTTCATTTAGGTCCTTAAAATTTATAAAAACTCTCTAATTATTAAAATTTCCTTCATTTAAACCCTAAGTCCTAATTTAATTAACTTATTTACACACTTTTTTATTTTTGAGGATCGGATATTACAATTTTCCTCTCTTATAAAAATTTGGTCCTTCAAATTTGATACATCTTTAAAGCAAGTAAGGATATCGAACTCGTATCGAGTCCTCATTTTTTCAAGTTACTGCTGGTGAATGATGTTGTCATAGTACTTTGACCAATAGAATAGTCTTGTTCCTTAATACTCGCTATTATCTATCTAATATGCTTATGGGTACCTCTTGATAGGATATTTCTTTCTTGATAGGAATATCTTCATATTGAAGTACATGAAATGAATCAGGGTGATACTTGCGTAGCGTGGATACATGAAACATATATGGATATTAGCTAACTCTGGTGGCGATGTCGATCGGAAACAGTGGTCCCAACTCTTTTCGGTATTTTAAACGGTCCAATAAAGCACGGGCTCAATTTGTCTTTCTTCCTAAATCTCATAATGCCCTTCATTGGTGATACTTTTAAGAACACATGGTCCCTGATCTCAAATTCTAAGCCTCTTCTACAATTGTTTGCGTAATTGTTTTGTCTACTTTGGGTTGTTTGAAGTTTTTTCTTAATAGGACAATCTTTGATATAGTTTCTTCGACTAATTTAGGCCTAATTAATTTTTTATCTCTAATCTCTTCCTAACATATAGGAGATCTACAAGGTCTGCCATAAAGTGCTTCATACGGAGCTGCACCAATACTGGACTAATAACTTTTATTGTAGGCAAATTTGATTAGTGGTATCCCAATTTCCTCCCATGTCCAGTGCACAAGCCCTAAACATGTCTTCTAATGTTTGGATGGTTTTCTCCGTTTGGCCATCTATTTACAGGTGAAATATCATACTGAAAGATAATGTGATGTCTAGAGCATACTGAAGACTTATCCAAAATCTAAAGGTGAAACGAGCATATTGATATGAAATTACTAACACCAAAATACCATACAATCTAGTCACTTCTTTAATATATAATCTATCAAGTTTGTCTAAAAGGTCTGTAGCTTTTATCAGTAGAAAATGGGTTGACTTTATAAATATGTCTACTATCACCCAAATAGCATCGTGGTTCAACTTGGTTCTAGGCAAACTCATCATAAAGTTCATAGTGATATGCTCCTACTTCCATTCTGGAATTGGTAGGATTCGGAGTAATTCCCTTGACTTTTAATGTTCAACCTTGATCTTCTGACAGGTGAGACATTTATTAACAAATTCAAAGATGTCTTTTTTCATCTCATTCCACCAATATCAAGGTCACAAGTTCCGATACATCTTGGTGATGTCTAGGTGTATGGTAAATCTAGAATTATATACTTCTTATAGGATGAGTCTCTTCAAGTTTGGGTCATCA